TTAACTTGATATACGATTTTTCGCATGATATTATATAGGTACAAATTAGAAATGAGGTAAACGAATATGACTAAAGAAAAAGATTTAAAACGTCTAATGGAAATAAAATCAGGTAGTGTGAAGGCTTTTTCAGAAGAAGTTGGTTTAGCTTATACAACAGTTAGATCTATTTTAGAAAGAGGAATATTTAACGCTAAAGTAGAAAACGTCATCAAAATTTGTAAAGGTTTAGATATTAAACCCGAAGATATAATGGGAATTGAAAAGCCTAAAGTAGAATCTTCAATTGAAACACTACCAGTTAAAAAAATTCCAGTTGTTTCTAAAATATCTGCTGGTTTACCTATCTACTCAGAAGAAAACTTAATTGATTACATATACTTTGCTACTGATAAAATTGATTCTAATAAAGAGGAATTTGGTCTTAAAGTGTCTGGCGACAGTATGGATAAAATATTTCAAGATGGCGATGTTGTAGTGATTGAAAAAGATTCTACTGTTGAAAATGGTCAATTAGGTGTTGTTATGATTAACGGTTACAATGCAACTGTAAAGCGCATTAGATATAACGGAGATCAAATTATATTAATACCTGAATCCAACAATCCTAATCATTATCCACAAGTATATGGATTGAATGATGAAGTTAAAATAGTAGGTAGAGTGGTAGCAAGTCAAAGATTGTTTTAACCATCCTCTCACGTGTATTTAGGTACACGTATGTTTAATTATAGGTTGTTTAATACATATAAAATTATTTATAAGGTGGTTTTGGTTTTGAATGATATTTTCAGTACTCGTTTAAAAGAAATGATGAAATCACATGACTATAAGCAAATAGATATAATCGAAAAGTCGAAAATTTATACTGAAAAATCTGGAGTTAAACTCTCAAAAACTTTTATTAGTGATTGTGTTAACGGTAAAGTTATACCTAGACAAGACAAACTAAGTTTATTAGCTAAAACTTTGGACGTCAGCGAAGGATGGTTATTAGGTTATAACATACCTAAAGAAAG